AATGAATTGGCCTGCTGACTGGAAAAGGCCAGCTGATTTGGCTCACAGGTCACCAACAGCATGTTTGAAGTCTCTGTGCAAACAATACACCCACAGGACTGTCCAAGGCTCTGTATGGAGAGGAACCAGCAATTACTGTGTGGGCTTCTGTCCCTTTGATCTCTGTGTCATGACCTTTGCTTTCTTGTGATCATCAAAGCCAAGATTGCAGATTAGCTGGGGAATGCTAGCTGGGTTATATAAGCCACAGGTTTTACAGCTCCCATTTAGTGGGAAACAGCCATGGGTGGTAGCCCAAGGTGGCCCCAGAGGCCACCGGAGGGTCCCTCCCACCTTTCTTTTGGTGGGGTGCTACAGACAGTGGGCAGGCCTCGGGGCTGCTGCCTACCAGGGAAAAAGAAAAGGCATGTATTTTAAATAATTTAAAGTTTTAAGGAATATAGAGAGACCCACTTGGGGGTGTTTGTGTCCCTGAAGGAACAGAAATTGGAAGAAAATGCATACCAGAGAGTGATGCAAAAGAATAGCCCCAAGCCTGAGAGCCCAGATTTCTTATTTGAAAGGTGACATTCAGCATTTAGTCTCTGTTGACTTTCAGCCATCAATCTTCCCGATGAAAAAGAAAAAAAAGTCAAGAAAGTGATACCATCTAGGGGTCTTGATGGGGTTTGTTTTCTCTGCCAGGTAAAGAATTAGAAGGCAGGAAATACCTGGAGCGAGACAGAGAGAGGCAGAGGAATCTTACACACAGCGAGCAGGAGCAGACAGAAGGAGCACTGGGAGATAGACTTTTATCAGGGTGAAGAGACATAAATACAGCAGCACACTGGGGAAAAGACAGGGCAGAGGAACTCAGGAGACAGCCTAGGATCTCCTTGAGGACTCACGGTTTTAAGGGTCTGTGAAGGGGGTCATTCTCACCAAGTTCCCGGTTGGTTGGTTTGAACAAAGGCAGGAAGGTTGATAGGTTCATACCTTAGGGGTGAGCATATCCTGACAAAGCTTGAATTTGCCCATAGGCTAAGAGCCATGTGGTGGGATAAAAGTCTTTGTTTGTAAGCTGACAGACTTTTCTCCGAGGTCAGGAGTATGAGGAAGAAGCTGGCCATCTTGGAATTTCACTGTTGATTATCATCTGGTCATGGCGCACTCTCTGTCTGTCTACAGGGAAATCTGTCCATCTCCTAGCCCCTTGAAGAATGACCAGAAAAGACAAACTATTCTGAGCTCCAGGTCTCCCACCCCTGACTTATTATTTTGATTTTTGATGGTATCAAAATCTGCAAGAAGCCTAAGTTCATGTCCATTCAACACTCACCCCATAATGGCAGCACTGTGTCAACACAGGGAAATATAAGTGACTTTAAAGTCCTGTGATAAGGTGACCATCGCCATGTCTCTGCCATAAGCAGTGGCAAAAGGCAAAGGGAACCCCAGACATGGTTACACTCCTACCCCAGGAAGCCCAGGGCTCTGTCCAAGCACACAGTAGTATGTCTGTGTTCACAGAGGAATGTGAGCCTGTTTTGTTGTCGGAATACATGACAAGAAAAGCCAAATGGCCACACAGAGGTTAAGAGGAAACCAAAAGGGTGGGCACTGGGGCGTGGGGAGGAAAAGATGGAAGAGACAGCACAAGATACAGAAATCTAGTCACTTCCCACCCCAGGTCTGGTTCTTGGCCACAACACAAACAAAAACTGAACCAACATCTTTGAAATCAACATCTCCCCTGAGAATGAAGCAAGGCATACTTGTTTTGATGGACGGCTGGGTGACATAAATATTACAGCACATGACCACAGAGGATGCCAATCAATTGGAAAATTTTTTCAACAGTTCTAAACGAGCCACAGGTTCTTGCTTCTGAGTGCACTCCTTTAAGGCTCCCTCTACTGCTTGCATGATTAATAGAAGAAGCATTGTCAGAAAACATACTTAAAGCGAAAACCAGTAAACTGTAGAAACATCACTCACTGTTAAGTCATTTCCTAGCAAAAAGGTCGTATAAATTCACACAGGGACTCCACTAGGATGATCTCGGGAATGGCAGAAAGAAGGTGGGCCTCACACTTGGTGGATGGCGGGCAGGAAAAGTGTTTACCCAACTTGGGGAAGGTAGCCACACCGCTTTGTATAAATGCATATGCCACAGGAACTCTGATTTCGAAAGTCATATTGGGAAACCCTACAGTTTCTCAGGGGTAAATGAATCACCTCCTAGGCTAAGGAAAGTGGGGCTGCCAAAAGACCACAGAGCTGAGCTGCATCTGGCCTGCACCCCCTTCTTCCAAATGCAGGGCTGACAACTTATCAAGCCAACAATAAAAAAAATGGATAAAATATTTAAGCACATTAGAGGACCGACCTAGCATTTCCCCCTCACGATGCAGTGAAGGTGTAACTGGGTAGGAGAGCATTGCTGTCTCTATGGTTCCTGGTTGCTGCCTTTTCTTCAAATGTGAGGAGCCAGCAGTCACTGTGTAGATGACTTATGGGGTTTCAAAGGCAATTGTGGCTAGATGTGATTTGGGCTGTGTGCAAGCTCTAGAATCCAGTCCCTCCGGGCAACACTGTCATAAATACACTAACAAACAGCCTTCCCGGCTCCATCTCTCACGTCCTGACAGCAACACAGACCTGGGGTGGGAGGACATGCTTAGGAGACCGCCCAGGTGAATCCCTAAGAAGGATTGCTCTTACAGAAAGAAAACCTCTGCGAAAGCTGTGCCGAATGACTGAGACTTGAGTGAGTCTGGATGAGAGCGGTGGCTTGCTAACTGATCTGGTACCAAAAGGGCAGTGGACCGCATGGGACTCAAAGATCCCCGTGACAACCTAGAAATACACAGTTCTAAGCAGAGCAAGTAATTCCAAACATCTCCAGTATAGTCCCCAGCCAGTTGTCCATGTTAAATATGACTTTAGGTTTGTACTGGGCTTCAGAAGACAAGGACCTCCGCCTTGCTCCCTGAGAACTGTTCTCTCAATGTGGGCAAGCCTACAGCAGTGATAGGGATGTGTATGTGGGTGCGCAGCATGGTGAGACGGTAAACCCAACGTGGATTTGCTGCAGGAAGATTCACAGACTCTGGGCTGACACAGAGTCATTAAGAACCTCTGACCTAGACAGTCACCCCAGCTTTAGAGGTCTTTCTGTCAAAATGGAACTCCATATTAGGCTTTCTATTCTCACTGCTTGTACGGTGGAGCTTAGTATTCTTTGTCAACCTGACCAGTTCCAAAATCAACAATGAAGAATTTGCTCCTCTCCTCATTTATACCCCTCAAAGCCCTATATCTGAGACCAAACAGAACAAGGCAGAAACAGAAAATTCCTCCCACTTGCTCTCCCCCTTCTAAGAAAAGAAAACAACTTCTCTATGCTTGTATTCACATACTATGTTTGGTTGCATGAATAAATGAATATATATGTGAATGTGAGTATACACACATAGATGTAGATAATACACATGCACATTTATATATATGCAATATATATATATAATGAATGCACATTTATATATGCAATATATATATGTATATATATATAATGAATGGAGCAAAAACATAAAGAAAAACATCAGAAAGTAAAGAAGAACTTTTCAAACAATGGTTTATGAAACATACTTATTAGATAAACTATTTTGGATTTGACCTTCCAAGATACATTTTAAAATTTCCTCCAAGATATGGAAGAAATCTAGGTACCTACTAAAAGATGAAAGGATAAAGAATATATATTTACAGACAACAGAGAATTTAGCCATAGTGAAGAACAAAATCATGTTGTCTGCAAGAAAATGTATAGAACTAAAGGGCATTACATAGATTAAAGAAGTCTCATGTGCTTTATCTTACATGTGGAATCTAGGATTAAATAAAACAACAAAAATACAGTCTCAAGTAGTGGTGATACCACAGCAGAAAGGAAAGTGGACAGGAGGGAGCCAGGAGATGCTCGGTACAAAGAAAGTCATTAGAGTCTGATACTATTAAAGAACAGTAGATATATAGTATATATGAAAATATAACAAAGAATCTCATTAATGTGACAATTAATATGTACTGAGAATTATAGTAAAAAGACCAATGCAATTCTAATAAACGGTGGTAAAAGAAGGTACTGTGTTTAAAGTGACCCCTTCACACATCTTGTATCAGACAACTTCATGATTAAAAGTTGAAAACAAAGTTATAGAAATCAATTAAACTTCTAAGCAATTAAACAACTCATAGTGAGAAATGAGCAATGTGTTCTGGCCAGATGGCAACTGGATTTCTCCTATCAAAAGTCACACTCAAATCTAGAATAGCATACCATGGTTGGAAATTTCTCTAGTGGAGAAAGACCTTCAAGAACAACTTTTCTTTCAAGCAGGGTTCTTATTTGTTCTGAGTCAGTATAAGAATACAAATAAAGGTCTACAAAATTAATCATGAAACTTTGAAATGAACTAAAGTAAAAAGTTCTTCTTTACAGAAGTGCACCTGAATCCCCACTTTACGTTACTTATGTCTCTGGGTTGGGCTTTTTCTTCCTTTTTTAAAATTCTTTTTCCAAATCCATAATGACTTTCAGTGTTACAATTTTGCCCTGATACACAATGATTATTCCTGCTACATTTCTTTGTAGGTCACCAGATTTTTACATAAAGCACAGTAGGACAAGTCCTTCTCAAACTATTGTCCTCTGTTCCCAACCTTTCTGGGCTGTTTCCCAAGAGCTTGTAACTTGTAAAACCTAAAATGCATATGAACTAGCCCATGAGAACGATTTCTCAGTCCCTGATCTCAGCTCCCATAAACCCAACAAAGAAAGAAAATGACTCTGTCCTTGAAAGACAACAGTTTAACACAATCTCCGGATGTCCGTGGGTACTTACAAACATTAACACAATCTCCGGATGTCCGTGGGTACTTACAAACATTGACTCTGCAGCCCACACTATCAGTGCCCAGAGGCTCCTGTTCCCTTCTGCCACTATATGAGCACTCACCTGTATCTCTTATAGTCTTCCTCATCCTTCTCCAAACTGACCAGCTCATTGGGACATGCCACATTTCCCAGCAGGCTGAGGTACTCCAGGGCTGGTGTTGCTTTAGCCAGTTGATCGAGGAGGTGCTCCAAATCGGTAATGTGCCAAAGGTTAAGGATCATGTTCGGGGGGAGGGGGGAAACAAAAGGCTTAGCAGGAAGTAGGAGGCATATGTGACAGGCTAGGCTATGGGAGTCAGTCTCCTATCACTATGACAAAAACAGGGCAATTAAGAAGAGCTCACAGTGTCTGAGGTTCCACCACCTTCCAGAAGCATCACTTTGCAGGCTACACCTTTGTGGAGCATTGTGAACTCTTATAATATAAAGCGCCCATCTAAATCATAGCACAAATATGTTTCAACTCCTAAAAACAAAAATCAATTTTCAGTCAATCATGCTAAAAGATGGAATTGTCATTCTAGCTCTCTATAGAAAACATCTCAAATATCATTATGTTATGAAACTATAAAGAAATTTGTAAGAAACAAGGTTTTGAAATGGGCATATCTAGTATAAAAAGATTTCTGTCCTTTCTAGTTAATTTAACATTTTTGATACTTGTCAACTTAATTTTTTAAATTTGCTTTGATATATTTTCATTCCAACTGAATATTGTTTTTATTCTCATACTTGTTCTCCGTATTATCTTAGTTTTGCATTGTTAAGGATCCAACTCAGGGCCTTGCCATGGCATACAGGTGTTCTGACACTGGGCTGTTCCTCTAGTCCATTAACAGCCTTCTCATGCATAATTTTATGTTATATAACCTTTGTTTTGTTGAGAGGGATCATTTTTGCTATCTAAGCTCTACACTCTAGAAAAACTGCATCTTTCCTTGGCTGGAAGACCTAGAAGGGCAGATCCCTTTTAATGTCCTGATCATGGACAATCTGGACAAAAGCATCTTCAGACTCTAAGGTGCTTCAGCTCTCCCTGCCAACGAACCCGGTGCATCTCTAGGAGTCTCTTTCACACGGGTCATGTGGTATGGTGGAAATTCCTCTGTTCTAAACCTTCCCAGCACCCTACTAAATTACAAATCAGGGTGCGCAAGCAGTTACCCACAACCACAGCACCGCCTGCAGTATGTTCTGCACCAGCCCTCCATCTTTCTTGATTCCTCCACCAGAGGAGGAGTCAGTTTTCATTGACTCCTCCTTCTCCTGGGTTAACAAGAACAAACATAGCTCCATCCTGCCTGATTGTGAGCTGAGATGGACCTTCTTAAGTCAGTTGTAAAATTAAAACAAGACAATGAGTGGCAGAAACTCTAGGGTGTCCAGCTAACCAAGACCATGGCAATGAAATGACCTGGGAGGTGCTTGGAAGGGCAGCATTGCTTCAAGCTTCCTGGTACTATGACAACTCTCCCTAGCTGGACTCTCGGAACAACTTTGGTTTCCCTCATCAAGGCTTCTCCAAAGGACTGGCATTCAGGAAAATTTGTTTTGCTGGTATCTACAGTAAGTTGTCATTGTAGAGTCCAGCTGTTGTGGCAAGGCTTGGCAGGAGTGGTTCTATATGGAGAGGTCAAGACCATGGTGGTGTCTTCCTTACAAACTTCGAGATGATGGGAAGTGAGGAGCCTCCTGGCTGGCATGCAGGTCCCATTGCACAGGAGCCAGAGTGATTTCCCAGCTGAGACTAGAACTTCCTCACCTTTGGACTCATCTCCAGGTCAAGGGAAAGGTCTTACAACCACTGGGGAATGTTAACCATGGTAAATCCTAATGTCAGACCTTTGAAGGCTAAGCACATAGTATAATGATTTATTTGCACCCCTGCATGCATATATGTATCTGAAATATTATCATGCCAAAACAAAATCTAAGAAAAATGAGGTTAAGAGTCACACAGCCAGTAAATGAAAGAGATTATATTCAAGTGTCAGTCATTCCTAGGAAGAAAAATTACTCAATTTCTAGCACAAAGGGTGAAATCAAAAGACTGAGGAATGAAGAGTTTAGTATGTTTTGGGGGAAGATCATACATCGCCATCCAGTTCTGCTATCTGTCTCAAATATTTCAGTTTAGGCTTGTGTTTTCAAAGCACTGTGGTTTTATCTTAATGTGCCAAGAAATTTGAGTTAGATGCACCAGGAAGCAACAAACATCTGTGGGTGTTAACAGAGTGGCTTCCCATAGATCATCCTGCTTCTGCTACTCACGGACACTTGAAAGTATGTATGTATTTATAAGAAACCAAGGGCCCTGAAAAAGAAAACATGCTTTCTCAAGATGATAAGAACCTGCTGTTAAAAGAGAGATTCAGGGGCTAGAGAAACGGCATGCTACTCTTGTAAGAGATGGGAGTTCAGTTCCCAGCACAGACTTCTGGTGACTGGTGGCTCACACTCACCCATAATTCCAGCTTCAGGTGACCTAAGACTCTTTGCTGCCCTGCATTGGCACCTGCGCTTACATGTACATACCCACACATAGACACACATACCCACACATAGACACACATAGACACACATGCATACCCACACATAGACACACATAGACACAATGCATACCCACACATAGACACACATGCATACCCACACATAGACACACATGCATACCCACACATAGACACACATGCATACCCACACATAGACACACATGCATACCCACACATAGACACACATGCATACCCACACATAGACACACATGCACACCCACACATAGACACACATGCATACCCATACATAGACACACAAACATACCTACACATAGACACATACGCATACACACATAAACACACATACCCACACATACATACCCACACATAGACACATATGCATACTCACACATAGATACACATGCATACCCACACAGACACACATGCATACAGAATATATTCTAAATGGGAGGTCCAGTTTTGTGACGTAACACACCGGTCTCCTTGCCATATCCCAGCTTCATAACATGGAGCTCTAATCTTTCTTCCTGTTTGCACTATGATTCGAGCTAGTCATCCCTTTAGCAGATGTGCTGACACAAATAGAAAGAAAATGAAGTATACGTTCAAATAAAGCCAGCTTCTCAAAGGGAAGGGCAGGAGAAGATAATTTAATTGTGCAAAGGTTAAACATCTATCCTCTCCCAAATTTTCAGCAGGCTCCCTACTTGGGGCTGAATATTCGGAGATCACATGATGGAGATCAACACAGAAGCTCAAGGCTGCTGGCGGACAAGCCAGGGAGAGATTGTGTGATTGGTGGGTAAGAGAGACTGAGAATACAGGCAGGGGTGGGTGTGGGTATTCTAGTCCATGGCCTCTGTTTAATTACCTAGCCACTCTACAGGGATCCAAGGAGAAGCTGTGCTGGGAATACACAGCAGAAGAGAGAGAGTAAGAGATGACCCGAGATAGCCCAGGAGGACTCTGCACTGAGGACTGAATCCGCATTGAACAAGAGATGATAGAACAAAGGCCGTGGGGGAGGGGAGCAAGAGGACCTATAGAGATGGGGATGGATGCATGCATTGGCGAACTAAAAAGACATTTTCCAGATGCTACACAGTCTGGACCCTGGAATCTCCTCTGTGAGCCAAATTCCAGAAGCCCCAGATGGGAGCAGGGTCTTGCTACATTGGCAGCTGGATCCTCTCACATGGAAGTCCCTCTTCTTGCAAAGGGTTGCTTCTCTTTGGACTTTCAGAATCGAGTGGGGTGGGGGGGGGGATTCAGAGTCAGCCTAAGTGGGGTCTAGATAAAGCCATGCCTGTGGCAATCTATGAATTTTCCAGAAGCTCACAATCTCTGAGTTTTCAAAACAAACAAACAAACAAACAAACAACAGCAAAGAGATTATTTGTCAGTAATTCCCAGATCATAGAAAGAGGTTAGAATTACAGTAAAATATAAAAGTCTAAGAAATACATTCTGCCCCTGAAGATGGTGGCTTTAGTCAAATGAGAGTGGTTTCCATGGTTTTGGTAGGATGATGTCATAGTGACTTTTGTCAACTTGACAGGAACTTAGGCATACCAGGGGAGATGGGATCTCAGTGGAGGAGTTGACGCCATCAATTGCTAATTGACATCAGGGGTGATACCATCCCTGGGCAGGTGAGCCTGGGCTGGATGAAAAGAGGAGTTGAGAAAGCCAATAAGATGCTTTATCATGAAAATAAAGTAAGATCTCACAGAGAGGAGATGCCAAGGCTGGTGTAGATGTCTACAGAAAAGACCTGTTCTTTATATGCCCACCTGGGTCATATGCACATTTCTTCTGCATTTGCCGTGCGGCTTGCTTTCATATCACGGGTAGGACTTCACAAGCACTTGGGCACCAGGGCCTGGGCCCTAGAATAATCCTTCCAAATAGTATGGTGCATACGGCCCATTAAAGACAGGCGGTTGAGCCAATGCCAGCACGGACTGCACACGTAAGAGTGAGGCTATTTTAGACTATCACTGGTTAAAAAAAAATCATGGCTGCCTGAGTGACACAAAATAAGACCATCAGACGGGCCATCCAGCTGAGCTCTGATTCCCATAGGACTGAAGTGCGGAGGACACTTGTTCTGTGCAGTGGATCATTATGCTACATGAGCTAGCTGACAGAGCCTGCATGGGGAGCATCTCATGGGGACAGCACCAGCAATACCCTTGTGTAGGACTGAGGGGTCTTCACGGCACGGAGTTTTAATCTGAAGAGGCAGGCTCAGAGTATTCGGCTAAGAGGAGGACACACACTGTTGTCTGCTTTTTCCCACCTTGCAGACTGTAACTGGATGGGGAAGCTGATTTTTGCCATGCTGCTGGTAGATCGGGAGGAAAGAAATTGCATAGCAACCTGAGCTGGACATAGCAACCTGAGGCAGATAACACTTAGTGGGGTATGTACCTACTGATGATAAGATGCTGCATAAAAGCACAGTTATATAATTGGGTTTTCAGCCAAGCAGTGACTTCCCAGGCTATTCCCTTACTCTCTTAGCATTGCCACTACGGCTCAAGGAAGTTAAGGCACAGAATAGGAAATGGACTTAACAAAAGGCAGTCTCCCAGCGCTCTGGATCCCAAGACCCACCAATCTCAGCGGTGCTGAGAATAAAGCCATCACTTGATCCAGCTTATGTCTTTAAAAATGAGGAAGAGGCTCCTGGAAGATGACTTATACTAGGCCACATGGCTACAAACCCTCTGGATACAACTGGGGCTGAACTTGAATCCAGGTCTCTATCTTGTCCGTTGTTTGACTGCAAGTTTATACTTAACCTCAGTTTCTAAGACTAGATAAATGGAAAACCTGTATACTCCTCATTGGTCCTCATAAGAATGAAAAGTAGGGTGCTTAAAGTCCCCAGCACAGTGCATGGCTTCCATGGTGGTCAGTGAGAACCTAGTGAAAATGAGTGTGTTGTTCATCCCACAAACATCTGTGGAATGCGAACCCTGCCAGGCAAAACTGTGCACAGGAAGGATCCAGAAACACCTACCAGTGGAGCTAGTATCCCAGTACCTGGTTACCCAGAACACTAGAGCTAGAGGGGTGATGGACCCTGTGCTGTTAGAGAAGTCTTCTAGTGTGTCCTCACTATAGAACCCAGGGTGGTTAGCTCCAAATTCTCATGCCAGGATGGGTAGGTACTCAACTACTCAAAGGAGGCCCTAACCTACCATGGCTCTCATAGGCCTGCCACCACGCCTAAGACTGTAACCCTAGGAATGAAGCGCTCTTTCTCCATTCTTGATTTCCAGAACTGTTCCCCAAACTTGCATCAAAACTGTTATGGAATTCTCTCCCCGGCAATTTTGTCTACTTCCCATAGCCAAGAGGACAACTATATGTTTTTCCTTTGGTTCACCTTCTTACTTAGCTTCTTTGGGATCACCAATTGTAGACTCCGTGACCCTTGTTTATGGCTAGAAACCAATTATGAGTGAGTACATCCCATATTCATCTTTTTGGGTCTGGGTTACCTCACTCAGGATAGTGTTTTCTATTTCCATCCATTTGCATGCAAAATTTGAGAAGTCATTGTTTTTTACCGCAGCGTAGTACTCTAATGTGTAGATATTCCACACTTTCTTCATCCATTATTCCACCCACTGAGACAGTGGAGCTGATCTATTGGGAGCTCACCAAGGCCAGATGGACTGTGACTGAAAAAGCATGTGATAAAACCGGACTCTCTGAGCATGGCGAACAATGAGGGCTGATGAGAAGCCAAGGACAATGGCATGGGGTTTTGAACCTACGTAATGTGCTGGCTTTGTGGTAGCCAGTTTGGATGTTCACCTTCTTAGAAATGGACGGAGGGGGGAGGATCTAGGACTTACCCCAGGGCAGGGAACCCTGACTGCTCTTTGGACTGGAGAGGGAGGGGGAGAGGAGAGGGGGGAAAGGGAAGAAGGATCGGAGGAGGGGGAGAAGGGTGGGAGGAGGGGGAGGGAAATGGGAGGCTGGGAGGAGGTGGAAACTTGTTTTTTTTTTTTCTCCTTTTCTCAATAAAAAAAATGTTTAAAAAAAAACTGTTATGGAAGCCTAAAGGACTAAGTAAGATTAGTGGCATTACCCATGCCTGGCCACCAGAGGTCGCCCTCCCACACAAGCCCAGGCAAACAGAAGCCGCTTTTCCTCCCAGGCACCCGTGACATTATTTTCTTTCTCTATTTTATCTATTAAAAAGATTTCCTCGCAGCCATAACTTAGATCTCTACACTAAAATGGAGCAACAGGAAGATATAACGGTGCATTTCATTTATGAATGACCTATAATAAATTACTCTGAAGTGTCTTGAGCACCAGAAGACAGAACGCTTTGTCTGCCCACCGACTGTATTTCACATACTTTAATTTAGCTGACACATAAAACTCATTTGACATTTTGCAGGTATTTTTGCGGAGAAGGGTTTGGGGATGGCAGAACGGGACCCCTTTGGGGCTGGACTGCCATGGGGTACTGCAGGGACCTGGCATGCTGGGTGCCAAAAAGGATATTTGGTTCTTGTTGAGGGTTAAGGTGTGCAAGTGGGGTAACCGTGGCAACACGAGGTCGTCACCGAGTAGATTGTTGTCTAAGATGAGTTCCTCCAGGCTTCTGAATGCGCTCAGTCCTTCCAGTGACCTGCAATGACAAAGGCAAGGGGGAAAACGATCCTGCAGTAAATCAGAGAGGCCATTATGAGCTGAAATAAATATTTTAACCTTCCCTTTCAGAACTGGGAATAGTTTGGGCTTGGTGCCTGTCAGCGGAGTGAATGACAAGAATTAGTAGCAGGGAGCCGGGGTGGGGGTGGAGGGGGAGAAGGGGGCCCCCGCTGGCACTCACTGCATCCTTCACGAATTGCCAACATGAAGGATGAGGGTCACTTATTGAGAAGCCAGGATCCAAAACAAAGGGCTTCAGATACGGCCTGCAGGATAAATTTGTCAATGTCTTGTGCCTTCAGGCACCCAGCCTGGGCTGACCCTAACCTCCATTCCCAAGATAAATAACTCTGTCACAGTTCACCTTCATTCCCTGGACACAAATTTAAGCTGTCATCCATCATTCCTGCCTAGAAATCTCATACCCCTCTTACAATAATAAATATAACTTCAAGTATCGTTTCTTCGCAGTTCTCCTCTGTCGGGGAAGCAGCCAGGAAGGGGCTTTTCTCTCCCTCGCATCCTTGCATCCCTAGGCTCCTTTTTCCCCTTCTCCATTTTTTTTAAAAAACTAATCACTGAATTTGCTCCTGCCTAGCATCCCATGGCTGCCTGACAGGGAGGAATTACATAATCACTCCAGGCCAACAGAAAGCTTTTTCTTCTTTCAGGATTTCTTTTTACTTGGTCTTGGTTTTGTGTGAGGACAGAAGCCTGGGGGAACTCCTGCTTCAAAGCCCAGGGTCTCAACTTCTACTTTACGGAACGTGGACTTGTTATCTCTTTAAGCATGGAATATAGCAATGTAGATTTTCAGGCAGTAAATAAAAAGGATTAGGCATCAGGTTCAAAGACAAAAATGCTGTGACCGAAAGGGAAGGTGGACCTGTTTACCTGCGTAGTCTGACATGAGCTCTTCACTAAGGGACGCCTGTGATGTCTGGGGTGGTGCACAGTACGGGGCAGTTGTGAACAAATGCTTGCCCAGGCACACACAAATGTTAATTAAAGCAAGCTGAAAGTCCCAGGGCTCGCACAGACTCCCAGCTTCTTCACCTGCCAGGCCCAGGAGATGTGCTGAGTTTGCACCAGCAGAGCCGGCAGAGCCATGGAGTCCGAGAAGGGAAGACCCGACACACATTCAGTCCCTGGCTACTCTATAAAGTACAGCAGATCAGGGTGGCACCAGTCAGCGCACTGGCTGTTACTAATTGCAGCAATACTAAGACCCTGTCACCTTGAGCGTGTGTGTGCTGGGTGCACCCCAGGCAGCGACATGCAGCATGGGAGCTTTCCCCCAGGTGTCATGGCTCCCTGGTGGGCTTTCTGATAGAAGGCCTACAAAACGAAGGGTGGGGGACTGAGAGTGGGGGTCCTATCCTTGAGATATGTAAGCGAATGCTCATTAAATCCACTGGATCCAGAGCTCATGCCCATCTCCATGTCCTGTGTCTAACAGACCTTCGTGCGGTGCTATCAGCTGCCAGGGCCAACACAAAACCATAAACAGGTGTGTACTTCTGTGTAAGAATTATCCTATTTCATAGGCTTCTGGGAGGCAAAATAACAACAACAAGAAATAAACGAACAGAAATAAAAACCTCCATCCTTTTGAGGGGTTAGGAGTGGGCTATGGGATTGGCTTCGGCTTCTCCGACTGCTTGCGACCTGAACCGGGTACTGAAAGCCTGTCTCCTAGCTCAGCGGATTTCAGGAAGACTAGGGGGACATTTGTGCCAAACTGCCTCATGCTCCCCTCCACTCCAAACACTGACTGTGTTCCCAGTCGGTGCTGCCTCCTCCTGTGGTCCATTGGCTTATCAGAAGCTGTGATCTGAGCTGTGGGGAGGGAGACTGAGAGAGTGGGCCGATCAACAAATCCAGTGTGCAGGGAATTTGTTAGCTTTCTGAAGTCCCTGTCTGTTTGTTGCTCTTGTTGTTACTTTTGTTGTTGTTAGTTTCTTGTTGTTTTTGTTTGTCTGTTTGCATCTGGTTCCCATATATCCTTATGTAGCCAAGGATGACCTTGAACTTCTGACCCTCCTGCTTAGACCAACCCACTATTGGAGTTATGGGCATGTTTCACCAGGTCTGATTGCTGGGTTTCTGGGGATCAGGTACCGAATATAAAATCAAATTCTCTACCAAAAGAGTTATGAGCCCCTTTCTCCATGGGAGTCAGTGAGCCAAGAACATTAACCACAAGGGCTTCAGGGCCAGGTCTCTGTTTGCCACCTGGGGAGTGGAGCTCCACCCCACCCTCCATCAGGAAGCCTTCTGGGCAACTAATAAGTTCTTTGTGCACCAGCATCAGATGGGCTCTGGTCAAAGGCAACATTCAGATACATACTGTTCCAAGTTACGTTATGCAAATATTGTATTTTTATCATGAGATTCAGCAAAGAGCTGACAACAGGCAAGCAGAGAAAAGCTCCCTTCCCAGACTGTTTCTGAGGAAGCGGAAAACAAAATGACACAGCATGAAGAAAGACAACGCCAAGGCCAGTGCACCACAAGGGTACAGGCCCCACCAAGGCAGCCTCTCTCCCCACAACCCAGGCTGTATGGGAGGGAGGGCTCAGCGAAGAGTCCCCCCAAATCTCCTGTCTCTCGTCTGGTTGCCAGATTCCTTCTTCTCCCTGTAATGTCATCGGTGCTCAGTAAAAGGAGAGCTGTTCTGTACAGGAGGGTGGTGATAAATCAAGTCCTGTCCTCATCATTTCTGTCGGCTCTGCCAAGTAGGGGGCTGAGGGACTGGAGGCAGGAGGCTCCCAATGCCATGAAGGAGAGGCACCAGGGAGAGAATTTGCGGCATTCCCACGGCGCATTGGAAGCCAGCAGAAAAGGGTTACTCTTTTGACTTTGAAATTTTTCCTTTGACTTGTTATTGTTGCTTTCCAAAAGAAGTGATTGGGAAGGAGTTTCTTGCAATAATGTTTGTGTTCATATCCTGCATACCAGATTCACCGTTGTAGAAAAATGACAAGGTTAAAAATAATAGGTTGTCAAAGTCCGGGCACAGTACTTGCTTTCCTGGGATGATACTGGTAGCTTACAGGGAAGATGGTAATGTGGTCTAAGCTAACATGCAGACTGCAAAATGCACCCTCCAAAGTGAGAGAGAGAGACTCATGGATAGTTGATGTCACCGCAGGGTGATTCCCTGCGTGGAAGCTGCAGTGCCTGAGAGGTGTGGGCTGGAAGCCGGAGGGAGTCACGGAGTTCTTACTCCACTGGGAGAAACTAGTAGAGAGTATGGAGGCACCCCACTCAGGGCGTGGGGACCCAGGTGGGACCACTCCAGGGCAGGGGGTTTGTTCTGCAAAGCTCATCAGAACCTCCAGATCAGGATGCAGGCTGCATCCTTCCCTGCACTAGTGGGAAAGCTGCTTTGACCACACCCATAGGTACCATCTTGGCCATCCTGCTCACTAGGCTTTCTCGGGAGCTTGTGGTTGTCTTGGGAAGAGTCCTAGTGCCTTCTCCAAAGTCACATCAATATGACAAAAACATCAAAATGTGTTTGGCTCTAGTGGAGTCAAACAGAGGGAACTTTTAAGTTTCCACTGTAATTAACCCTATCCTCGTTAAGATAATTATGATCAAGCTTCCTGTCACAGTTAATATCCCACTATCATTGCCCGTGGCCCTCACAATGCCCTCATTAGCCTATAGAAACAGTGGCGCTAAAGAGGCAGCTTTGCCTGCTCAGGCTAGACCCACGGCTGGAGGCTGACACAGGGCTGTGGGTATGGCAGCACTTTCCTGATCTCTTCATTACTGAGTGGATGCAAACTCAGCCTCCTCATTCTGTCCTTGGAAACTGGCCCCTTGTGAGGATGGTAATAAGAAGGCCAGGAGCAGAAGGCAGGGAAAGCAGTGTCTGACCTAGACAGTGATGCCCACTCCCCCATCCCCACTGCCCTCAGCCAGCACATAACCAGCAGAACACGACACCATAAAAGTCACCAGAGATCACTTCTGCAAACTCCTGGTGTCTTGTCAGCTTACAGGCTCTGTCAAGGATTAGGTCTCTCTTCTCTCAGCTGCCTGTCTAAACCGGTAGTGACATTTGTGCCTGGCCCAGAAAGGGCAATGCATAGGGGGGACAGCTCGCCATAGATCTATGTGACAAGTACCATTTCTCTGGCTTTATCCTTCACCAGAATCATGATATTCTCAAATCAAGCTGGGAAGCAGCACCTCCACTCACACCTTTACCTGTCCCTACACCACATTCATCTGAACATCCAAACCTACATTGGTGGAGCCAGAGTGGAAAGGCTATGGACATGCCAAGGGCCTAGCCCATATGCCCCAAACCTATCAACCACCCATGTCAACTGCCTTATCTTAAGGACTTGACCTTGTCTTCCCAGAACTCATTCTGCCCAGCACCCAGCTAAAGAAGGGATGTCAGTGTGATTTCCACTCCCCTGGATAGCTGTCAGGTTCACAGCGGACTCAGAGCCGACTCAGAGCCAACTCCTGAGCCTATGCGGCTGCTTAGCAAAGAGCTACAAATCTAATAGAGTAACCCAGAGAAGGCCGTGGAGCAGGCAGGAGCTAGTGCGGCGAGCTGCCAGTGACGAGAGGGTAGTCCTTGTGTGGATCCCTGTCTTTAGCAGTGGAGAAGTGTTTGGGGGCAGAAAGAGTAAAGAGCATAGAGCATGTGCAGGTAACTATTCCATGCCTGGGACAAAATAAATTTGAATATCTCCTTACCATCTGGTAGACAGGCTCACCTCTGAGACCCTCCCTATTAGCTGACACTCTCAGACCTGTCCCTCCACTGGCCTTCATAATCTTTATAATTTAGCAGCTAGGTCACTGATACTCAGCAACCACAGCATGAGGCCAACACGGGGCAGCCACAGGCCAGTGTCTGCTCTAATTGGCCAGTGCAGTGGTTAAAGGGTTTAAGTGCTATCTCTGACGGCAGGAATAACAATTTGGTACTGTTTTATTTGCACACCT